GCCTTGCAGTGGAGTCGTGAAGCTTAAGTAACCTTATAAATTGCTTGGAGGCCTATGGATGAAATTTGCTTTAGAAACGTGTGTGGTTATTTTAACTTCGACGGCTGAGAATTTATTTTAGCTGGTGCAGTTGGAGTAGCTAGTGCCACTTGGGTTTGTGAACTCCAGGGTCGTCATTGTGTTTCTCTTTCTCTCCTTTAGACTCCTCCGGATCTGGGATTTGGAACTAAGAACTCCAGTGGCATTTGCACCTATGACCAATGGCCTGTGCTGCGTCTACTTCCCACACGGCGGGTTTATTGCCACAGGGTGCGTACGTTCTGTGCAGGCCCGTGGGACGTGCTCTGCCGAGAGCACATTGTGTTCGTGCTAAGTTTGGGGTGAGGGAGGCGGGGGAATGTGACTCCACTTTGACCCAAAACCTTCTGCAACGCTGCTGCTGTCTCAAAACTGGGCATCCTCAGGGCAGTCTTAGGCCAGGTCTCCGCTACAGGCTTCTGCCAGCACACAGCTGTATCAGTCATCACACCCCTGACCGACACTGCTGTGCTGGCAGAAGCCAGAGTGTAGATGCTAGATTAAGATGAGCTATTATCAGCAGGAGAAAAAAAAGTTTTGTAGTGAGAGGGATAGCTCAGTGGTTTGAGCATTGGCCTGCTAAACTCAGGGTTGTGAGTTCAATCCTTGAGGGGGCCACTTGGGGATCTGGGGAAAAATCAGTACTTGGTCCTGCTAGTGAAGGCAGGGGGCTGGACTCAATGACCTTTCAAGGTCCCTTCCAGTTCTAGGAGATAGGATATCTCCATTAATAAAATAATAAAAAATAATCGAGATGGCCCATTTCAGACAGTTGACAAAAAGGTGTGAGGATACTGTACTTAACATGGGGAAATAGGTTCAATTTGTGTAATGACCCAGCCACTCCCAGTCTCTAGTCAAGCCAAAGTTAATGGTATCTAGTTTGCATATTAATTCAAGCTCAGTGGTTTCTCGTTGGAGTCTGTTTTTGAAGCTGTTCTGTTGCAAAATTGCCACCTTTAAGATCTTTTCTCCTCCCTTGGTGTTCACACCTCTACTGCTAGCAGAGCACCTCACCCTCCCTGATTGAACTAACCTCGTAATCTCCATACTGATTTATACCTGCCTCTGGAGATTTCCATTACTTGCATCTGAAGAAGTGAGGTTCTTACCCATGAAAGTTTATGCTCCCAATACTTCTGTTAGTCTTAAAGGTGCCACAGGACCCTCTGTTGCTTTTTACAGATTCAGACTAACACGGCTACCCCTCATATACTTGACACCTTTAAGACTGTTACTTTCTTAGTTTTTTTCCTCCTGCTGATAGCTCATCTTAATTAATTAGCCTCTTAGAGTTGGTATGGCAACTTCCACCTTTTCATGTTCTCTGTATGTATAAATATCTTCTCACTGTATGTTCCCTTCCATGCATCTGATGAAGTGGGCTGCAGCCCACGAAAGCTTATGCTCAAATACATTTGTTAGTCTCTAAGGTGCCACAAATACTCCTGGTATAGCTGTGTCCACACTAGGAGCACTTTGCCGGTGTATTACAGCGTGATTCCTATACTGGAATAAGGCTCCTAGTGTGGACATGACCTTGGTGCCAGGAGAGAGCGATGTTGGAAAATACTGTGCTCGGAGCATTGTCTTCCCTCCCAATTCCCTCCTAACCGAGCTTCATTGGGTTCCTGCCTTATTCTTCCACCTCAGCTAGCAACCTCCCCGCCCCCGCTCCTCTCGGGTTCAGCAGCGAGCGGTGATGCTGCAGTCAGCCTTTCTCCTGTGTGTCTGTAGCAGCCTCTGTCGGAACGGGCAGTGACAGTGCAGCTTTCTCAGCCAGAAACGAGGCCTTGAGTTCTGGGTTTCTCTTGAGTGTGCCGGATGGGCTCTCAAGAAGTCATCCCACCTGGCGGTGGGGAAAAGGGGTGCGAGTGAGAGCCCGTGGTCTCCTGTGGAGTGGAAAATCTGCAAGGCTGTTGCAAGTCAGTGATGGATGACTAGCCACTTCCTAAAAGTCCTGTGTGGGCAGCTTTTTCTTTCCTCCCCATGCAGGAGTGGGGTCAGGGCCACAGTTGCCAACTTTCATGCGGTAAATAAGCATCCTGACTTTCACAATAAGCCAAAAATCAAGCTAATCCCATTTCAAAACAAGCCAATCCCTAAGAACCCCAACACTCTGTGACTAGACCTCCCCCGGCGTGCAGTCTGGGACTGTGGTGGGCCTGCTGTGCACCCCTGACTCTCTCCACTCCTTGCCCCTGCTGGCCGGGAGCTGATCAAAAAAAGAAGCAACAAGCTACTAGCCAACAAGCCATTTCCAAGCCAATTAAGCCAAAAACAAGCCCAATTTCTGCATTTTTTTTCCCCATGGGTTTGGCATGTCTGGTCAGGGCACACATGCTGTGTTGTTCAGATGCTGAGCTGCGTGGATGCTAACCTTTGTCCTCCGTCTCTTGTTTCAGGACGAGAGATGGCCACGTCCAGTTCTGGAGCGCCCCCAAGGTCCTCTCATCACTCAAGCACTTGTGCCGTAAAGCTCTCCGCACCTTCCTAACAACGTACCAGGTCCTAGCACTACCCATTCCCAAGAAAATGAAAGAGTTCCTCACTTACAGGACCTTTTAAACCCTGTGTAGTACATGGGGTCCAAAGAACCCTGGAGCATGCTGGCTTCCTTCCATCCTTCCGAGCTTTGTTCTGGAACGGAGGAGCAGCTGGGGTTATAAAATGGTCACGAAGACCCACTACGTTCTATGGTTCTAGTACAAGAAGGATTTCTGTTCCTCTGTTTGGGGCTGTATCTTTGACCATGTAGGTTATTTTAATAAGAGAACCCAGCAAAAACATGCAGTCGGCTAGTTGATTGCGCTTTGAATTTGTTAGAATTCAACTCTGACAAGGAGCAAGAGTTTTACTCAAGTGATCCATCCACGCTGATGGCTGTGCAGGGCATTTGGTTCAGAAGGACCCTGCCAACAGCAACGCACGTTTCAATTCTCTCTAGGTGCTTTCACTTCAAGTGCAATTGCTGAACATTGTGTGTTAAAAGCTAGAGGGCTGTGAGAAGCTGCCTTCACTGGTATGGCAATCCAAACTCAAACCTGCACTTTCACGAATGAGAAGCTGTGTCCCCTAGTTGAGTTACGCAACGAGGCAGTGGCTTTCATGTTTGTTACTTTCTTTGGCCTGGTTCCAAGACGGCTGAACCTGAACAAGTCTCTGCATTGTGGGCAAAAACTTCAAAATAAAAGATTTTGTTTCCCCTTTTTGGGTTTGAAGAGTTAGAGATGCTCTTCCTAGAGCCATTTTGTGGGTGACAAAAGTACACGGCCCTGAGGGAGCCCCGAATGTTCAGTCGTAGGGGCCTGGTGAGGAGTGAGATTAAGGTCTTAACTTTGAGGGGTGAAAGATCCCCTTAATACTAGTGTGGCTGCCAGTCTGAAATTGGCTTGATCAGCTCACTTGGCAGAGACACTAGCAAAGTACTTGTGGCTTGGTTATATGGTGTAAGGCATGGCTTTCTCCTGTGTGTAATGGAGAGATGAACACCTTAAGGACAATGACTGGGGGGGTTGGGAGGTGCTCTGCACCAAGGCAGCTGCTGGTCTGTTTTTGTGAAAGTGATTTCAACTTGGGGCAGCTTTTTATTTGTATCCCCATGGCACACACTAATTGTGGCAGAGCCTGGCTAGTTTGCATTATGGGGGAGGCCAAGCATGAACTTGTGAATTTTGCAAATGTTTGTGTGTGTGTGCGTGTGGAGGGGGATTTAAAATACAACCAATAACTACCAGAGCTGATTTGTTCACTCACTGTGACAAGTCTAGTTGTTGAATTATCCAGTGTACTATCCTAGTAAATGTTCTGTGGCCTAGTTTTTAAGCGTGGTGACTTCTTGGCACTATGGTAACTTCTTACACTTGGCAGAGAGACAGCAGATGACCAGTTTTTCATGCAGATGACAGGGCTCTATTGTCCCCGCTCTTGTGCTGCTTGCTCACTTTCTCTCCTGCCAAAGTACTGCTTTTTGGAGTCTAGTTTCCAGGGAGTTTTCCAGCCAGGGCTAATGACTCATGTGTACTGTATCAAAGGGGGGGGGGGGGGATGATGCTGTCTCTCATACTCCTCCGTTTCATTTGGGCTCGTTTCTGGCAGCAGTAGCAGCACATGCTTTATCGTAATTGCTCCATTCCCCCTTTTTATAACTACCCCCGTATCTAGTGCCATACAAGCTACTTCAGAACGCATGGTAGTGACTGACAGGACAGGCTAATAACTTCCCCTTGAAACTAGGGGGAGACTTTTTCCCCTTTTTAGAAAAATTACATCACCTATAAATTGGAATCTAGCCCCAAGAGACTAAGCTTTTCATATCCCTAAATCTTTCAAAAATACCCCCAAACCTTAAGTGCCATTGGACTTCCTCTTAATGAGCACAAGTGATAGCATAGGTTAGCTCGAAGATAGCTGTCCACACCCTGCTGCTGTAATAATAAAACAAAGGGAAAAGTGGCACCACTCAGCTTGGGTTACTCCTGGCCCCAGATTGGGTGAAGCTAAGTCTGATCCAGTGAACCTAAAACCAATGTGTTAAAATTCTGAACGATAGCTCACTAATGGATCACAGCAGCAAGACTATGGGGCCCTTTCTCTAATGCTGGGAGCAAGGTTAGTGGGGGAGGGGGTATTGTCCCTTTAAACTAGCAGTTTTCTTAAAGATCTATCTTGGCCAGCAACTCTGAGCCCCATATGTGCACTGAACCTGTAGCAGAAAGGGGTGGTGAAATCCCCATCATCTGCATGGAAGAGCAGTCTCAACACCCCAGCCACTTGTTATACCTCAGTACTACAGCTGACCAACTTGTCCATGGAGCATCGCTCTCCAAGCTCGTAGAATGACTGGACCCTATCGCTCACAGCTCTTCACTTGGGTATTTCTTCTCCATTGTATGTAAAGAGCACACGGGGACACAGAGAGGCCCTGTCAAGCATCCTGATGAGTGAAGATGGTTTTAATTTTTACTTGAACATGATCTGTAGTATTGCCATCATGTACACAGGAGCCTGAGATGTTTATTAACTTCAAGAGGCAAAATAAAATTTTTTCCCTTTCATACAACTGACTACTAGTGTGTTGTCCTTCCTAGGCTGCAACTACACTAACCTCCTGCAATCAGGATAGCAGGCCCGAAGCACCTACTGTAAAGCCAGTTTACAGAATTTAGGGCATTGATTAAATCAAGAGACCCCTGTATTCTGCACTAGGTAATGGTACACCATGTCTGTTTGAGAAGATCCTTCTGAGATCAGTTAAGGCTTCCTGTGACATTGTGTCATGGGAAACAACATTTAAAGTCTCATACAAGGGGAAAGTCTCTAGCCCCCAGCCTCCTTCTGCTATACACAATTCCCTGCAGGCTAAATGGGTCAAATCTGCTGCTGCTCTAGGAGTGCAGTTCCACTCATCAGGGCAAGTGAGATACTTACTCTGATGGTGAATTTGGACCAAAGTCTCCCAGGACATGAAAGGAGCTTGCAGCCTTAAAACCCACCAACAGCCAGCTTTAGCTACAGTGGGCCCCACAAAGTCAATCCCTTCCTCGGGTGTAAGAGAAGAGATGAACCTACCTTACTTCCCTTCCAAGGTGTATTTCACGCTGCAGCTTATACACGGACAACTTCTTAGCACTGTGTCTATTACCTCACCCTTAGCTGCAAAGGGCTAAATTTTTCCCTCAAATGCTTGTGCTGAGTTCCCCTTAAGTCAAGAGCAATGAGGTGCACGTATCTGAAGGTCAAATTTGTCCCCTACATTGTCACCAGTATATGGGGCTTCTAATACAGGGGGTAAGGAACTGCAGAAGCCACTGGACTCGTGTTCAGACAAGGACATTCTTCTTTTTTACTTCTTAGCGGGAGGGGTGAGGGTGTAAACTGTGCTTGCAGGAAGCCACTGGCCCTAAGCCTCAGCTACAATCAAGTCCCTGGTGACTTGGAACGCAGCAATAAGGGAGCTTAGCTGAATCTTCTCGCTTGTCCCCGCAGCCAATCTGTGCCTAAGGCAGAAGAAAAGCATAAATGTAAATACTCCATGTGGCCAGATCCTGCGCTGCAGGTATTGCTGGGTCAGTCCCAGCACAAGCTGGGCAAGATGTGGGTTTTACAATTAAACAAAAACAAAAAATCTATTTCACGGATAGCTTCTGAAAATATACAATTTTGCACGTGCCCATCCTAAAACACATGCAGGGGCCACTGAAGATAGTGGGTGCAGTCCTGCAATGGGATACAAAGTTGTGAACGAGGGGTGCAGCATTAACAGTAACCTTCCCACAGGAAGGGTTCAGACAGGCCAAACCTCATCTTAAAGATAATTGTTAGGGGAGAAAAGGCAGCTGGGGCAAGCAAAGCAACAGGCATGGAAGGGATACTCACTCGATGTCTGCCATTTTGATCAGGAGTTGGATTCGGACGGAAGGCGGGAAGTCAACTAGGGAGAGAGATGAAGACAGGTTGAGTAAATGTGGCGTTTTAAAAAAGCATCAAGTCATTTAGAATGCCAGCAATGCCCCTCTGCCATGTACATTGCCCAAACCGGGCAGTCTCTACGCAAATGGACACAAATTAGATGTCAAGATTTATAACATTCAAAAACCAGTCAGAGAACACTTCAACCTCCCTGGAGACTCGATTACAGACCTAAAAGTCGCAATACTCCAACAAAAAAACCTTCAGAAACAGATTTCAACGAGAAATTGCTGAATTGGAATTAATTTGCAAACTGGACACCATTAAATTAGGGTTGAATAAAGACTGGGAGTGGGTGGGTCATTACACAAAGTAAAACTATTTCCCCATGCTAATTTTTTCCCCTACTGTTACTCAAACCTTCTTGTCAACTGTTGGAAATGGGCCATCCTGATTATCACTACAAAAGTTTTGTTTTTTTCTCCTGCTGATGATAGCCCACCTTAATTGATTAGTCTCATTATAGTTGGTATGGCAACACCCATTTTTTCATGTTCTGTGTATATATATCTTCCTACTGCATTTTCCACTCCATGCATCTGATGAAGTGGGTTCTAGCCCACGAAAGCTTATGCCCAAATAAATGTGTTAGTCTCTAAGGTGCCACAATGACTCCTCAAATCATTTAAGGCTCCTAAGTGGACCTGCCCCACCCTGTGAGGGAGAATGGCTATTTGAGACAGTAATTGAAGATGGCTGTAGCAGCTAATCTCTCGCCCACCCAAAACACGTGCTGCTAATAGCAAATGGGTCTCAGCCATAAAGACCATGTGCCACAAAGCAAAACAGGGCGGGTCAGACACTGCTAAACAGGCAGTGAAAAATCCAAACTGGGCTATTGCTCTGCGGCCAGCTCCATACCAGTTCTTCCCCCACCTCTGGCCCACTGCAGTTTAACCGGTGAATGGAACCATGTACGGTGAGGTGTTACCTGTGGGGCTGCCTCTTCCCATAGCACAGCCACCATCTTCCCTTGTTATAGCCTCACCCAGAGTCCCCAGACCGTAGCCAGGCCCCAAGAGGGATTCGTTTCCTATGGGTTAATGAGGAACACCATCTACAAGCTACTTTGGTGGATATGCATGTTAGAACGGGGTGACCACATGTCGTGCTGGCCGGCCAGAGGAGCATTACCTCGGTGCACAAACAAGTGGATCTCTGTCAGGATGTCATGCAGAGCCAAACCCTTCAGCGTCTTCAGCTCCAGGATTTCTGAGGAGAGAGTCAAGGGATTTTTTTGCACAGAATTCTGAAGCCTAGGAGTAAATGCCACTGAAACAAGGGATCCTGTCCCCCCGTTCACTGGATCCTTGGTGGGGTGAGCAAACATAGGATCAGCTCTGAATCTACAGCCATGAGGGAGCAGGATCGGACCCCGAGCTCCCTGTCAGTGGAGCACAGAATGCTTGGAGGTTGGAAATGAAAGGAGCTGCACCACATCCGCAATTCAGACATCAGCCCACAGGACTGCAACACCCAGAGCTTCCCCGTGCTGATCAAAGGGAACCAGTGCGTCCCCGGGAAGCACCACTCCCCGTGAGAGAAGGGGAGATGTAGATGTACGAGCCAGGGATGCCGTAAAGATTTAATTGGCATGAGTAACGCGAGTGGCCAAGTGCCTTATAATGCAAAAGCCTCCCTTTTCCATTCGCACTATTGGTGAAAGGGGCCGCGGGATGCCACCCCATCGTCATCATGCTAGTCGGACGCCCGTCTCACTCGCCCCTCCGGGCGGTGTAAGGGGGACAATCAAAAGGATACTTTTATAGGCAGTGGTGAAGTCCTGGTTCAGCATCCAGTCGAGAATGTTGGCAATGTCAGACTTCAGTGGGTGCCCCGTGCAGGTGTACACGGTGTCCTCCGTCACCTTCCCAAAGGCCATGGTGGTGCTCTGCCAGGAGAGGAGAAGAGGTTGGAGGGCAGCTCTGGCCATCAGACCTTTAGGGTACATCAACACGGGGATAAAAGACCCGCAGCGTGGCCGCGGCTGGCTCGGGTCAGTTCACTCAGGCTCCTGGGGCTTGGCCTGTGGGGCTAAAAATTGCTGTGTAGACCTTCAGGCTGGTGCCCAAGCTCTGGGACCCTCCTCGCAGGGTCTCAGAGCTCAGGCTCCAGACCAAGTGTCTACACAGCAATTTTTCAGCCCTAGAGCCCAAGCCCAGCTAATCCGGGCCAGTCACATGTTGTTTATCTCTGTGTGGTGGATGTACCCTCTGTGACTAGAACTGCTTTTCCCTCCCGCTAGCCCGGCGGGACCCGTGCACCATGGAAGACCAAGCCGGATCCTGTTCTCCCTTGTGCATCATCAACAGAAACTGCTCTAAGTGCACAGATGTCACCCATTATAAATCTAGGGTAGGCAACAGGGGCTGTGCGGGTGTCACTGGGCCCTTAAGAACCCGGTGACAGCGTTTTAGGAAGGAAGGACTCAGCCTGCTGTGAGTTGCAAGGAAGGTAGTGGAGGGAGCCGTTCTGCTTCTCATCTGAACCACAGTCACCAAGAGGCAGACATGGAACTCCACCCATGTGCCATTTCACAGTCGCTTCAGTACAGGGAGTGAAGACGAATCTGCCATGGTCTCTCCCCCTCCCCAAAGACAATCTGTGCAATCAGTAACAGAACAGACTAGCTTCCCCACCTGCCTTCCCTGTATACCATCTGCTGCTGCAGCTTTACTCAGCCACTTGCCAATGGTCCTCAGCCAGCGCTGCTTCCCCAGAAGTCACTGCAGCGCTTCAGGGATGTGGTGGGGAGAAGGGCTGAGGGTTCAGGAGGGCGCTGAGGTGAACCCATTGCCTGTGGTTGCATTACCATCTCTACTTGGCTGTTCCTGCTGTAGCCAGTCTCCAAGGAGACCCTGGGCTGGAGCAGAGCCAAGCAAGCAAGCGCACACTGGGAAGCCTAGGCCCGCAGTGCACTCTTGCCTACAAATACCACCTGCAACTCTGAGTAAGTGGAGGAAGTGCCCCTGAATCTCTCCCTTATCCATGGGGATGAGGGTGTTGCATGTGACCACTGGCCTGACCCCGTGAACCATTCCACGCACGCGTCAAGGGAGGAGACATCCGTCTGGCCATTACACACGTGGCACCGTTGCCGCTCTGAAATCAGAGATGCGGCCTCTGGGGCTGTAGGGGAACAAGCTGAAGCCACACACAGGACTGTACCTGCAAAATATTCAGAGCTCTGCGCATGTCCCCGCTGGAGAGGGTCACCAATGCTTTCATCCCATCTTCACTTACGTCAGCCCTGAAAGACACAGATTTCAGGATGCACAGCAGGGGCCCCGAGCCCTGGAGAATTGCTGAGTCACACAACAGCCACCAGGGGACACCCCAATATTTGAACAGTCCTGACAATGTCACAAAGCCCCGTACGGACATGGCACCGTGACAGGTTTGGGGCCCTCTGTCTCTATGCAAAATGGTATCTTCTCTCCTCTTCTGGCTGCCAGGAGCAAAGACGACAGGTCCTGACACCTCAGGACCCTTTGTTCAGGCTGAAGTAGACTGACAGACAGTCCACCGCCACGTGAGCAGGCAGCTCCTCCGATTGCACTGCCTGGAGCGGGGCTGTACAAGATAACCTTCAGTCGGACCAGCAGACTCCAAGAGGGGCATGCAGGGCATGGAAAGAGCCATGAGGCTATGGAGGCAGAAAGGAAGTATTCCCAGGGGAGAGGCCTAGTGACGTAGAGGAGAATTTGCTGGGCCAAAGAGAAGCACTGGCTAGAAGCAGGTGTGCAATAGCTGCCCCCACGATAAGCTTCCATCACACACACCTCTGCCACTGCACTCACGCCTCACCTACGCGGCACCTGCTCTCCCTGTGGCCAATCAAGCCCAAAGGTTCACGTCAAAAAACCCAATGCCTGGGACCAGGCTGAGCTCCGACTGGTTCCACTTGCTACCCAGCTCTTCAGGAGTTAAACACCAGCCCACATCTCCGCTGTGCCATCAAGGTTTTAACCACAAACCGTGGCTGGTTCCATTGGTCTTAAAGAGCAGTTCTACTCTGAAGGGACGGCCCCTTCTCTCCCCTGGCACAAGCTCCCTGCGTGGGCACACAGACAGATCTTTAGTATGAAAAGCAAGGAGCCAACACAGCTCTAGGAGAAGGAGTGAGCTGGTTTCCACTCTGCCTGGAGCATTATTAACAGAGTAATTAAGCTCTAATAAGAGCCTGGTTCTGCTATGTTGCACCTGGGCAGGCCCCCATCAACGGAGAGGCTCAGGTGCAATTAGGACCTTCGTTAGTGGGAATGAGGGTAAGGAGGAGAAAATCCAGCTCAGGTTCACACAGCTGGCCACCAGTAGAGGGGACCTGAGCACATTTGCCCTGGAAAACCACAAACAAAGGAGACTCCAGGAGGCCTCTCCTCTTTTCAGTCACTTTTCAGCCCTACACTTGCATTTGAAGCTCCAAAGCACTTAAGGAAGGGACCTGCTCAGAGACAGAGTCCCCAAGGACCTACGGGCATCTCTAGCTGCCAAAGGTTGAAGGGAACAAAAGAAAAGCCACTGAGGAAAGCCACAGTTCCCTGCAGGGGGAGAAATGTGTGGAGGAAACTGGAGAGAAGGACAAAGCCAGCTGTTACTTCCGGAGGTAAGAGGAGGATTTAGGAGAGCCAAGAGAAATTGGGGAGGGAGGATATTATGGAAAGCAATGAGGACACCCGTGATTGCATGAACAAAGGCAGGAGGCAGCTGAATAGGTCAGATGTTCCCCCGATGCGAAACTCCGTTTCCATTTTGTTCGGACTCCCCCTCCCATCCCCAACAACGCTTTTCACTCACATCTCTTCCTTGATGACATGCTGCAGCCTGGGGACCATGAGTTCCGGAGTCAGGGGGCCAAACCGGAACCTTGTGCATCTGGACTGCAAGGCAGGGATGATCTTGGAGAGGTAGTTACAGATCAGGCAAAACCTGGTGTTCTCAGTGAATTTCTCAATCACTGCAAAGGGGGAGGGGACGGGGAAGGGAATTGCCAATCAGAACTTGCACCAAGCTGCGTTTGTGCAGTCAGAAGAGAGTTAGTGAACACAGGCAGTATAAGCCACAGACCAATTCCACTCTGCAGAGCGGGGGCCATAGGAGGCTATGAAATAGCCTGGAATTCCTGGAGCTTGAGTTTCCCCTCCCAGAAGGCTGGACTCAAGCCCTTTATCCTTCCAAAGAAGAGCTTCCAGGAATTTACTGTGGGTGGCCCCTTTGGTCAAGACCTGGAATGCTGAGCCAGTGTCATTATCATGAAGATACTGTACAGCTTCCTCCTCTCACAGCTGCCTTCAGGAGTTAACGTATGTTGCTCCTTTCATCTCAAAGCGGGGTACTGATGGATCTACGCAAACACACACACGCCACTTCAGCACGGGAAATGCAGTCACTGGGGTGGTAGGCAACAGCTCCCTTGCCTACAACCCTGCTACATACACGGTCGTGTCAGATGCACAGCGTTACCACTCGCTTGCTTGGGAAAAGCTTAAGTAGACAACGTGCTCTGAGGGTGGGAGGCACAACTGCATGAAATCACAGCTGGGCCTAGGGTGACCAGAGGTCCCAATTTTATAGGGACAGTCCTGATTTTTGGGGCTCTCTCTTATATAGGCTATTACCCCCCCACCCCATCCTGATTTTTCACACTTGCTATCTGGTCACCCTAACGGGGCCCTGTCTCAGCAAATTACCGAGAGCCCTTGAGAGCGACCACACCTGTCTCCGGGCGCAAGCCGAATGCCACTCACCTCGCCTTAGGGCATTCTGGGCATCCTGGGTCATGGCGTCTGCTTCATCCAGGATCACAAGCTTAAAACCTTTCCTAATGGAAAGAGAAGGGGCGGCTGCTTGCGTCATTCCTGCCTGCAGCTAACCCGCAGCCGGCGAGCTGGAGGAAGCCCATGGACTTGAGTCGAGCTTGGCCCTGGGAGATTTAGAGCTGGGAGAGACCCAGTCCTACCAAAGCATTAACTCCTCCTTACACCTGTCCCTTTTTCGGCGGAAATCCAGTATTTCACGCGATCGCTCCCACCTGATTCACACCACTTTACCCCAGACTCACAGTAGTGTCCCTTTGCGTACCCAGAATCCTCTATCTTCTCCCCCTTCCACAGCATTGTTCACACCCTGCCGATGAAGAGAGACGTTTCAGAAGTGGCCATTGAGTGTTGGTGCCCAGCTTGATACGCCCAGGGGCCTGACTGCCAGAGCTGCTGAGCTCCAGCAGCTCGAGTGACTTTGGGAGTTGATGTTCAGCATCTCTGATAATCAGGCCCAGGATGGGCCCCCCAAAAAGCAAGGCACTGCACATCAGGGCCACTTCTGAGAACGTTGGGCCTTGATTCCTTTCATCTTTTAGTCCATTCCCTCCACGCTCTCATCCCAGATGCTCATCTCAGCAGTCTCCCCAGTCTTCCTCTAGTAAAGCCCCCAAAACAGCATACCAGACTGGAACTGTGGGGACACGTTTCTCTCCTTTGCGTTACAAGACCCCCAGAGACGGCAATAACTTTCTTACTTATCTCCCTGAATACTCTTATTTCCTCCTCCCCTATCATGCAGGGAACACTTTCCACACATCTCCTGTCCAGTCACTACCTACCCCATTCTGTTCCTGTGTGTAACAGTCTGTTGAGAAAGCATGTGCTTCCCCCCAAAACGGACCATCTCCTTTTAAGCCAAGAGTGGTATTTCAGCGTCATGCTTTACATTCTGTGGACTTCTTGTGACTGTGTGCATGTCAGGGAGGGGAAAGGGGCCAAGCACAGATAAAGGGAGAAACCACCTCTTGGGAGGCAAGGGATGCAAACATGTTATGGCACTTACTTAAAGATTGTCCTTGTGCTAGCAAAGCTCAGGATGGGGCCTCTGACTACATCAATTCCTCTGTCATCCGAAGCATTCAGCTAGAGAGAGAGAGGGCGCTGGCATTATTACTGCATCTCTGCACAGCAAGAGCTTGTCTACACCTGAAAGCTGCACTGGTGAAATACTACGGTGGGGATTGAGATTTAGTTAAACTGGTGCAAGCCACTGTATGGACACTTATTTTGGTTGAAGAGCAGTTGAAGTTTACTGAGATCTACTGATGAAGTGCTACATAAGAGCTATGTATTGCTATTATGGTTGTTAATAATTGGGAAAGGTTTAAGCTAAATGGACGTAAGCCTCTCAAACTAAAGTAAGAGACTTGTACTGGTCTAACTTAAACCAGGTCAACGTCCTTGGGTACACCAGGCCGAAGACTGCAGCCTACATGCAGGTCTCACTATCTAGAGAGGCAAAGGGAAGCTGATCTTTAGTAGTGTTTGTTTATGGAGAAGCACTCCAGGATGTGACCTGTAACCCTGGCTAGCCTTTCCCCATACCAGCAGCAGAGTTATGGGGATTGGAAAGTGCCACTTTCAAATGAACAAGAGCGGCAGGGCCGGCAGGACATTGTGATTTACCTCTAAAACCATGGCGTTGAATTCCTTGTCTTTGTAGAGCTGTTTAGCACAGGCCAGAATTGTGGAGGTCTTGCCAGTGCCAGGCGGTCCATAGAGGAGAAGGTGAGGCAGACGATCTTCGCTGATGAACTTCTGAACTGATGAGAGATGGGTTAGGGGGTGAGGAAAAGAAGAGACCCTTCTGATTAGATACTAAGTGAGCGGCTGTTGGTCTTCCCGCTCTTAGATTTAGGGGGCTAACCTATAGCATCCCCTGCATGCTGAACTCGACTAGCACCTGTGCTGTACTGCCAGATGCCTTCAGAGTACAGCACGTGATCACGAGACCATTTTGAGAGGGGCACATTTGAAACAAGTTTATTTTTTTGCTCGAAAATGCTTAAAAGTCCTGCTTGGTTTTGACAGTCATCTAGTTTAGAGGTGTGCCTTTTGCTCCCAAGCATTTCATCAGCTATCTACAGAGTCCCCTTGCATGACAGCCACCCATGGAATGTAGGGTTCATGAAGCCAAGTGGGGCACAAAGGAGGTGGGAAGGGGACGCTGTAGGCTAGGACGTCCTTGCCCTTACAAACAGTGCCAGAGGATCTTAAGAGCCCACACAGTGCAGATGAGGAAAACTTATCTGTGCTTACCTGAAAGTTTCCTTTCTTTGAGTAATAAGATCCACAGATTTCTTACAATGGGTACTTCAGCCTGCCTGCCTGCAGCTTGGGGGCAGAACTAAAGCAGGCCGTCACTAGCAGTAGGGAAATGCCTCACAGCCTGAAGTTCCCTCTAGCTCAGTGGTTCTCAACCAGGGGTACGCATACTGCTGGGGGTGCACAGAGGTCTTCCAGGGAGTCCATCAACTCATCTAGATATTTGCCTACTTTTACAACCGGCTACGCAAAAAGCAGTAGCGAAGTCAGTACAAACTAAAGTGTCATACAATGACTTGTTTATACTGCTCTCTATGCTATACACTGAAATGTAAGTACGGTATTTATATTCCAATTGATTAATTTTATTATTATTATGGTAAAAATGAGAGTCAGCAATTTTTCAGTAATAGTGGCTGGGACACTTTTGTATTTTTATGTCTGATTTTGCAAGCAAGTAGTTTAAGTGAGGTGAAACGTGGGGGTACGGGAGACAAATCAGACTCCTGAAAGGGGTACAGTAGACTGGAAAGGTTGAGAGCTACTGCTCTAGCTGACAACTTCCACAGCTGGGATAATTCCATTCTACTTTCCTAAATTACAGATTGTGTTAAATATTGAAAAAGCACAACAGAGCATGGGGATAACGTCCCTTAATGAAATAAACCTGAATCTTTGGGTATCAATTTCCAGCTCTCTGCTGGATGACCATTTGTCTCCAGGGTGTGCTGGATCTGTGGACCTTATTACTCAAAGAAAGGAGATTTTCAGGTAGAGTGCAAATAAATGTCCCTATTCGTCACCAAACTAAGGTCCACAGCTTCATTACAATGGGGCTTTCATGCAGCATGGCTCCAGGCGGGAGAAACAGGATTATCCAAACTGAGATAGTTTATATATCCTCTTCCTTCCCCTGGGT